AAAGACATGCACCAAATGATTTCACTCATCTGTGGAGTATAAGAGCAAAGAAAAACTGAAGGAACAGAACAGCAGCAGAATCACAGAACCCAAGAATGGACTACAAGTTACCAAAGGAAAAGGGGGGAGGATTTGTGGGAAGGGAGGGATAAGGGTGGGAAAAAAGAAAGGGGGCATTACGATTAGCATGTATAGTGTGGTGGGGGCACGGGGAGAGCTGTACAACACAGAGAAGACAAGTAGTGATTTTACAGCATCTTACTATGCTGATGGACAGTGACTGTGAAGGGGTATGTTGGGGGGACTTGGTGAAGGGGGGAGCCTAGTAAACATAATGTCCTTCATGTAATTATAGATTAATGATACCAAAACAAACAAACAAACAAAAAACCGAAGGAGCAATACAGCAGCCGACTCACAGAACCCAAGAATGGACTAACAGTTACCAAAGGGAAAGGGACTGAAGGGACTGGGGAGGATGGGTGGGAAGGGAGGGATAAAGGGGTGTTTGGAAAGAAAGCAGGTATTATGATTAGCATGTATAATGTGTAGGGGGTTACGCGGAGGGCTGTACAACACAGAGAAGACAAGTAGTGATTCTACACCATCTTACTCTGCTGACGGACAGTGACTGTAATGGGGTATGGTGGTGGACTTGGTGATGGGGGATTCTAGTAAACATAATGTTCTTCATGTAATTGTAGATTAATGATACCAAAAGAAGGAAAAAAAAGGTGTTCAGCCTCTGTAGTCAGGAACATGCATTTTAAAGTTACAAGTAGATATTATTTATATTGGTAAAATTCAAAGTCTAGTATTACTATTAGTGCATGTGTAGAAGTGTAACAGGCACTTATAGACTACCTATGAAAGTATAAATTAATACAACTTTCTGGAAAATAATTAGTAAATTTGAATGCGTACCTACTACATGGCCTAGGAATTCAGCAACTCTCTCAAAGCCTGTTCCTTGGAGAAACTCTCTCATAGGTTTATTAGAATGTGCTAGCAGCATTGTTTGAAATAGCGAGAATAATAAAACCCAGTTGTCCATCACCTTTGGAATGGGTAAAACAATGACCTGCAGTGACAATGGAGGTTATTAAAAAAAAGCACATTACACTTATTGATTAGTATGAGTCTCAAAATATATTGTAAAAAGCAGTTTATTAAAAAACTATATATGCATTTCCAAAACATACAAACATCCATATTTGTAGAAAAACCATAATAAAATCACAAGGGGATTTTAAGGACAAGATTTAGGATATAGGTTATTCTTGCCTCCGTGTGGAAGCAGTGAGTTAGGATAGGAACTTAAGAAGTAGATACAATGTTCAGTTGCTGTAGGGTCCCCAGGTCTATATATCATTATCTTCATATATGTAAACCTATACAGCCTTTTGAAAGCTTGATAGGAGACTGTATTTTCAACATAAATCTGTGACTTGGTCTCTTTTTTTTTAATTGAAGTACAGTTGATATACAATATTTTGGTTTTCAGTGTACAATATAGTGATTCTGTAATTATGTACATTTACAAAATGCTCCCCCAATAACTCTCGAACATCTGTCAGCACATGAAGTTATTCCTCTGAAATGACGTATTTTATAATTGAAGTTTGTCCTTTTTCCCCTTCACCGAATTCACCCACCCCACCCACTTCACCCCTTTCCACCCCACCATGACAACCCCCAGTTTGTTCTCTGTATTTATGGGTCTGACTTGGTTTCTTTTTTCCGTCATTTTTAACTATCCCACGTCTTTCTTTTGCTTAGTGATTTCATTGTGCTTCATAATGTACATGATGAAGTACATGTTTCTGTAACATCGTTGACAGTTTCCTACCATCGGTAGGAAAGATTTGGACTGTTGGGCAGGAATTCTTTGTTGGTTTTTAGCTGTTGCTGGGTGTCAGTGGTGTAAGTCTAAAATAGGCATATTCTTTTCTATGTGTATATGTGAAAAGCTTGATTTTTCTCCCTCTTACCAATAGGCAAGTGAAAGACCAGAGTAAGAAGGTAGCCACTCTGAAGCACAAGGAGCAGGTGGAAAAGAAGAAGAGTGCCCAGATGCTGGAGGAGGCTCGGCGAAGAGAAGACAATCTTAATGACAGCTCCCAGCAGCTGCAGGTTAGAGCACAGGAGGTCTGCAAGGATCTGTGGAGAGGTTTCATCCCTCAGTGCATGCCGTTCTCCCATCATCTTTACCCTCCTCTTTTTTCTCTGTCTAACCTGCTTGCTGCCTTATTCTCAGATCAACTGTTTAGGGATAAAGGCCTTAAATAGAAAAGGCAAGTTTGTTCCACAGCTTTGGGAGGACACCTCAGCTTAGGAGAGAAAGTTCTTGTTTCAGGCTGATCATACCTGCTTGGTAAGTTCAAAGTCAGTTTAATGAGCGGTTCCGTTGATCTTCCAGATGGACAGTATAACGATTTGCCATTTCCTTCATTAAGCCACATTGCTAATCTTGCTTGCTATCTGTTTAACTCCTTTTTTTCCATTTTCCCCCCAGTACTTGAAACTAGGCCCAGGTAATTCATTGTTTCTAACCTTCACAGTAATCCAGTAGGCAGATGGTTTTGTGCACATTTTACAGATGATGAAATAGACTCGGAGAACTGACTTCCTTACCTGAGTATATACAACTTTCTCAGTGCTCAGCCGGGATTTGAGACTTCCTGGTTCTCTCATCTATGAGAGTGATGGTGTATGGTTTAGAGAAGAGTGGAAACCCCTGTAACTCCGGCCAGCTAAGACTTCTAAGCAATGACCAGACTGTCTCTCTCGTTACAAATTCTAATGGACTGTGAGTGTTTATGCTATGTAGTCATGAAATCTTTACTGGAAAGATTCGGAAGAGCTAGTTTTAGGCTTTACAACAAATTCATTTCAGAAATGAAAATCTGACTTTTAATTCCTTTTTTCATAAATTTTACTAATTATAAAATATATGCTCCTTATGGAAACACTATAAATTTCCTCAAATGTACCAACTTTTGAAAAAAGTACCAATTTTCCCTTACTCTTAACAACTGTTGATACTATCAATTTTCTCTTCCTCCTTTTTTTCTTTTAGTGCCCATCGGATGGGCACAAAAGAATTAACTTTTGATTTAATTTATATTTCTGTGACTACCAGTCAGGCTGAGTATTTTTCATGTCTTAAATTTTATTTCTCTGTTAATGTAATTAAAATCTTTCTTTTCTATTGCAGCTTTTTCTCCATGGATTTTTCACTTAGTTTATCTCAGTTTTGAGATCATACAGGTTTTTTTAAGTTGCTCAGGGCATTCGTTTTTTACTTTTACTTTTTAATTTAAATTACTTTAGGGTATTTTTTTATGGTGAGAGTATTACTTTTTCTTCATTGCTAACAATTTCATTTGACCCTTTATAGGAAATTATTCATTGCTCACAAGTTTGAATTAACATCTTCATATTTTATGGAATTGTTTAATAATTAGGCTTTCAATTCAACCTTCCTTCTTGGGCTAGGATCACATTGTTGTTAATTATAGGAAATACTATTTTTTTCATAAGACAAGTCCTTCTTTATGTTAATCCCTTCACTATTTCATTTGTCTAGTTTCCCTCTCCCATTTAATGTTTTCTACTGCCAGTCGGTCTTTAAAGCCAAAAGATGCCCTTTTAGTTTGTCATTTCTTATAACACCAAAAGTGCTGTCATGTGTAATTTATTACTTTCTCTTTATATAATCTGAGATAAGTAAATCAGAGTGTTTATTTACATATTACATATAGAGAAAACTCATTTAGAGTGGATGAGTGGCTTTTCTAAGGTATGTCAATAGGTGATAGATGTAAAAGTTCTGAAAAATGATAGCTGATGGCTATTTGCAAGATATGCGTGGATGCAGTTTACTCAAATACAGCAATTGAATAATGGATTGCAGATAGGATACTTTGGATCTAATCTCAACTCTTTGGCTCGCTAGCTGTGCTACTTATTCTTAACTGTCTTACTGCAAATGATAGCCCAGTGGTAGGTAGTAAGCATTGCCAGCACCCAGACTGTGATCTCTGTGACCCCCTATAAGAAGCTCGGAATTCATGGAGAAATGCTAATACAATTCATGGGAGAGTAGAATGATCAGAAAGCAATTAATTAAGGATTTATATTTAAAAAGTTCTTACTACCTGAGTTTTTTCTTTATTTTAAAGTTTCCAAATATATTTTTGGGTCCGTCTATTGATGTTTTCATAAAATAGAAGTAAAGGGAAGGACTTATTTTAATATTTCCACTATAGGTGTAATAATAATGCTAGGATTAAGATATATTCTTTATCATGTTAAAACTACATTATACTTAATATTTTGAACTTGATGTGTCATGAATATTTAATCTTTATCAGATACCACCTTGGCTTCCAAAGATTAATTTTACTACTCATGATAAACACCTAATGTGTTTTCTTTAGTTTGCAAAAAATTGAAAATTGCTTTAAAAAAAGAGATTCATTTTCACCTTTTGTTTTTCATTAGCTTCCAGTTATGGTGTAAGGACATCGGTGGCTTCACTCTGGTAGAAGTTAACAGTTTGCACAAAGCAGTAATACTACTTTTTAATTTATCTCTCCTTATTCTTAAAAATAAAATACATTTAAAAAGTACATGAAACATACATGTTACATGTACAGTGTAGATAATATGTACAAAGTGATTGTCTCAAGGAAGTAGACTATTATGGGCATCCCAGAAACCACATGTGTATTCTTTTCCAATCATGTTTTCCTCCCTTCCTCCAGAGGAAATTATGATGTGGCTTTTATTATTATTGACTTTTCTGTATGACCTGTGTATATATTAAATAAGAAGTTTGGGTTAGTTTTGCGTGGTTTTATTTTATATAAATGGAATCATCATATTCTTTTGTAGCTTCTTTTGTTCAACATCATGTGTGAGATTTATTCATTATAGTTTGTGTGTAGCATTTGCACATTCATGGTCCTTGCTGTACTGTGTCTTTGCTTTTAATTCAAAATTCCATGTTTTATCTTGAAAATGTTCTGAAAAAGGTAACTTCATTTCTTTCCAGTTTTCTGTTTTTGAATACTTCAGGTGTAACTACAATTATTCCTTCTTGGCAGCAAGTTTGGAATTAAGTTGTTACTCTGCTCTTTCTTCTTGGCTCAACACATTAACAGTGTTCTGAAGAGATTAAACACATTCCTTACATATGAAATGAAAATGATACCTGAAAGTGGAGGAAATCTATGGATCCCACAGACTCAAAATGCTGCCATTTACCATGACCTTAGTTCAGAATGCCCTTTCTTAAGACATCATATTGCCACTTGATTATATTCTATTTATACCTTTCTGTTCTGGATAGTTATTACTATGACTTGTATTAACTAGTCTGAAACTTTTTGGTTTTAAGAAGGTCCTTTATACTGTTATTATTATAGTCCAAACAATCATTTTTTTAAATGTGGTTTATGTACCATACATATGCATTTACTTATTGATCCAGTTATCCAGTGTCTCGATGTAACTGAAGATACATCCAACAATATAAAAATACATATACAAGAAGGTTATTTTCAGTTTGGTTGGTAATTGCAAAATATTAGAGACAATCTAATTCCTATCAACCTATTTAATAGGAGAATGCTTGAATGCACTGTGGTAATCCACACATTGGAGACTGGAAGCTTTAAAAAAGAACGAGGAAGATCTCTAATGAATGAATGTGGAGTGATTTCCAGGACTTCCTGTCCAGTGGGGGGAAAATGCACAGAAGACTACCTGTATGCTATTCTTGGCATAAGAAAACACTTGGTGTATTTTGCAAAAGGAAACAGGAAGGATAAACTAGAAACTGAAGAGACCAGTTCCACTGGGAGTTATTGGGAGAAAAGTGGAAAGAAGGGAGAAATGGGATCTGGATGCTAAGTTTGATGAGAAAGTAACACTTCTCTTAGCCTATCTCTGTATAGCTCTGACTTAGAATCATGGTAATATTTTATATATCCTTCACATACTCTAAAAATTAAATGAACAAAATCAATCAGGGTGAAACCTTCTAAGTAGAAGATCGACTGGATACAGTTTGTATTTTGGGAATACTGTTTTGGGCAGTATTTGGAGAATGCATTAGAATAGGATGAGGGTGGTTATGAAGAAAGCATTTGTCAGTAAGTACGTATCGCACACGTACTCTTGCTGCACAGTATTCTCTGCTGGAAATGGTAATGACGTGTCCTTTCTCTCAGATCCTTATTCTTAGCTCACATCATAGAGGAGTTGAGAGTAATGAAGGTGAGAGTTCATGATAGAGACTAATCTTGCAAGCCCAGAAGAGAAAAAGAAGAGAGGGCATATTTGAGATCTATTTTTAGGTAGAAGAGTCAGAGATTTCTCATGGATTGGTATGATGTCACCACGGGAGAGGGAAGGAATCGGGGATGACTTTTAGGTTCTTGGCCAGAATAACTGGATGTATGTTAATACTAAGGAATAGGGTGGGAGAACTCTGAGGGTGATGACAGATTTGTCAGGGAATGACCAAGTCCATTTTCAGCATATGAAGGTCTTTGTGAGATAGCCTAGTTGGAAGTGTGGGGCAAACAGTTGGATGTGCAAATCTGAGAGTTACAGAACTCTGGTGTAGTTTAATTAATTTTCAAAACTTGTGTTTAAAAATCATAATGAAATCCTTAAAAATCAGTGATACCATCTAGAGATAAAATAGTAATAGATGCACACAGAGTTAGAACTGAGCCCTTAGGATTGTCAACATTTAGAGATGGGGTAGAGTAGCAGAAGGTGGTGCTTGAAAGGAAACTAGATTGAAAAGGCCAGTTGAAGTGGGACAGAAGGAAAGTGACATCACAGAAGGGAAGAGAGAAGATGTCTGCACAGAGGGCATAAGCACATCATGGAATGCTGCCAGAGGCAGAGGAGAGGAGGACCACATTGTTGAGTGGTCTGGTCCCGTGTATCCAAAATGGTCAAAAGTAAGCACATGGTGACTTCCCTGCCGCCAGCATAGATGGATGCCTTCCATTATATAAGCCTTATTGACCTTGGACATAGTAGATAGCCTTGTATGCATTCAGATACTTGGCCTTGGCCAATTTTTCTGCCACAGGCTCACCAAAATTCAC